AGCAAACGGGTTTATTGATCCCAACACTGAAGAAATGCTATTCTGGGGAAACTTACTCCTCTCAGTTTTCCTCTCCTAGTGGGATGGCTGAGCTGGTGGGGGAGGGTGGCAGGGGAGCTAAGAAGCGGAAGAACCTCCTGGGAGGGGAAATTCTTAAGGACCTAGGGGTGAGTTTTATGGTGTACTTAAATTATATCTCAAAAAAAAATTCTTTAGGGCCCAGAAAACTGCCTCAATTAGGCAGATGACACCCTCACCCCAGACTTAGGCACATCTCCATCCCCAGACTAGAAGCTAGGTAGAGCTGGGGCTTTAGGAACTGTGCCAACCATTAATTTCCCTTCTCTCTCACCCCCATCAAGTCTCATTTGTGACTCCAGATCCTATTTGTTTCAAGATGGCACAATATTTCCCTAGTAACTGAAGGGAAACTGTTTCCTTAGAAAAAAATACACTAGAGGCTCAGGGGCGTGGGAAGACCCCACCCTCTCTTTGAGGAGACGCAGATGTGGGGAGCTGCTGACACCATACCTAGATAAAGCCATTCTTTCTGCTGGACTTAGGGAGAAAGGATGTCTAGGCCTTGACCTTCCAAGCCAAGGAAAGACAAACAATTGGGCTCAGGGGCAGGAATGTAAAACGATCAAGGGCAAGGAACTGATTCTGCCATAAGGCCCATGATAGGATTCCTTCATTCTACCTGTTGGGGACCCTTTGGGAGCATGGCAGGGTGCTTGAGAAGGAAGGGCCTTGGCCGCAACTCTGCATGAGCTGGCAGTTCAGCTAGAGAGACAAGCAGGGCTTTTGGCATCTCACCAGCAGATGCCTTAGGCTGGAATAGTTAAGAGCACAGACCTGGGATTGCCAGCACCCCTCTGCCCCCTCCCCCACCGTGCCTCAGTTTTTCTTCATCTGTAGAATAGAGCCAATAATACCAAACTTGCAGGATTATAGTAAGGAGTAAATGAAGATGATATACCCCAATGCCATTTTGTTATCTCTGATGGGTCAAGGTCTTGTCATTGTCCTGTGGTCAGTTATTTATATTTTCAGACTTTCTATTTCTTCATCTGTCAGATTGGGACAAGAAGACTTGTCTTGGAAAGTGGTTCTCTGAATGAACTTTGAGATAAGGGACATAAAAACACCTAGCTCACAGCTTCGCAGTTGGGTCAAACAATTGAGGGTTCCCATCACCTGCTCAGTGTTACTATGCATTGTTCTGTCCACCCATTCAAGATTGGTCAGGGAGTCCTATAGGAGCAGCTGCTCCAGGAAGACAGGGAAGAAGAGGCCCTAGGCTGGCTGAATCCTCAGGAAAGGAAGACTCCAAGCAGCAGGGCTTCAGAAAGAATTCAACTAGGTTTGGGGAGTGGGAAGGGTGTTTCTAGGCAAAGAACAGATACACACAGTCCACAGTTGGATCCTATTAGAGGTGGTTCTTAGCAAACATCTCCATGGGGTAGTGCCTGGACCAATCCATACCGAGCTGGACAGAAACACAGAGTTAAACATACCTAAATTTCACACGGGTGAAATTTGCCTTTATTAATTTCCTTTAATGTAACTTTTTTAAATAAGTGAAAATTTTTTTCACAAGAAAAAAAGGCATACAGAGGTCAGCCGAGGAGATGGCCTCCTTCAGCCTGCGGCTTGTTTCCCAGGCGTCCTGGCTGGTTGGATGCCAGACAATGCCGAGTGGGTTATCCTGTGGCCTGGAGTTGCCAAAGGCTGTCTGTGGTGCTGCTGTTCTGGATCTGCCTCGCAGGCTTTCTCATCCCTTTCCCTCAAGACATCACTCCCTACCCCCATGAGGCTGACAATTTGTGTACTCTGTCCTGCTCTGTACTCCCACCCTCCGCCAAGATCAGCTGTAGGTCTATGAGCCCTACCTGGACCCATTGTGGAGTAAGAGTGCTGCCTTGTGGATCATTCTTTAGAGACAGAAATGGAAAGTTTTATACTAAAGTATACCTAAATGACTATGATGGCGCTGAATGGTGCAACATGTGATATACTCTTTTCCTACCGTAGAGGCTGACCCCCAAAACTCTGCTCCCCTGACCACTGGCCTTCAGACAGTCCTGTTGACTGGTACCAAAGTCATCGTTTGCCTCTTATTTAGACAATGGCTGCATTGTCCTAGCGTCCGAAGGTCTTTGCTGGACTGGAAAGACTTAAAGCAGAGGCAGCAGATGGATGAAAGCTTCTGTTTCTTGTGGCTTAATTCTACTTCTACCTTGGTGCCTTGGAGTGGATGCTGCCTCACCTACCTCTCAACATAAGATGCAGATGTTTTAAGGCTGGTTTTGTCTACGCTTTTCCTATGATGATTTGGAGCTCCCCCTCCAGTTTCACCAGAACCTTTAGGCAGCAAAATAAAAATGGCAACCTTGGGGCACCTGGGTGGCTCAGTTGGTTAAGTGTCTGACTCTTGATTTCAGCTCGGGTCATGATCTCATGGTTTGTGAGATTAAGCCCCTGAGTCAGCCTCTGCACTGACAGTGAGGAGCCCACTTGGAGTTCTCTCTCTCCCTCTCTCTCTCTGCCCCTCCCGAGCTCTCTCTTTCTTTCCCTTTCAAAACAATAAACATTTTAAAAAATGGCATCTTTTGCAAGCTGTAGCTGATACAAACTGCTCAGTAGGCCCACAATGCACTTTCACTGCTTCCTTTCGGAGAAACTGCTCTTCCCTTCTTTCAACTCATCAGGGTCTATCTGAAGCTGGCCATTCCAGGCCTCTAACAGTCCTGATGGGAAAGCCTGTGTAATAAGCTGACCAATGTCATCATGTCAGCCTGGACATGGTGATTTGGTAGAGGGGAGAGTATGTGACTCAGACTGGGCCAAAGTCCTTCCCAGAAATAATGACTTAGAAATGGAGAAGTAGCTGCTCCCATCCTTTGCCAGGAAATGAATGGCATTGAAGAGAGCATGAGAAAGTTAAACAGTGACAAGAAATGGAGAAATAGAAAAGAAAAAGAGACTATCTATTCCTCTCTTTGATTTATTTAATTAAAATAAAACGGTCCCTTTGTACCTTTAAGTTTACTTGAATTGGGTTTTTGTCACTTGCAACTGAAAGAGACTTGAGGGAAGAATCTGAGATAGATGGAGGCCCATCTGTATCTATACCCTTTCTATTTGTGCACACTCATATGTTCACACAGGTTTGCTGTGGGCCAGGGAAGCATGCCCTTGGAAAGAGTTGATTCTATGTTTGCTATTCAGAAAGTGTGTTTGTTAAAACCACTAACCTACAGGTTCCACTCTACTGAAAACTCCCTTCCTGACCTTGGGAAATTGATTAATCTCTGGACCTCAGTTAGGGTGACCTACCATCTTTGTGTGCCAGGGACAGAGTGGTTTCCTAGGACATGGAACTTTCATTGTTAAAACCAGGATTGTGTCTGGAAAAGCTGGACAGTTGGTTACCCTAGCTCACTTCCATATCTGTAAAACTGAGATTAAACTAGACAGGGTTAGGAAATTCTGCCCCACCCTGCATTCAGGTCTACATTGCCAATTGCCCTCAACACTTATCCTTGCAAGTTTTAAATTTGCAATATGGCCAGCTACTATCAATCAGAGTTGGCACCTATTTGCCATCTTTTTTTTCCTTTATTTATTTTGAGAGAGAGAGAGAGAGAGAGAGAGAGAATCCCAAGCAGGTTCCAGGCTGACAGCTTGAAGCCCAAACTCACCAACTTTAAGATCATTACCTGAGCAGAAATCAAGAGTCAGACGCTTAACTGACTGAGCCACTCAGGCACCCTGTATTTACCATCTCTGTACTGAATTTTTGA